ACTGGGTTGAAGATGACGGTCTTCCTGCTGGGGTAGCTCGAGTTGACCGTAAAGGGCCAGAAGATGGTGTAACCTACGTCATGTACCACGGCACCACCAGTGCAAACGCTCAATTGATCTTGGCTTCAGGTTTTTGCCAGTCTTTGGACGGGATGCTCGGTCCGGGGGTCTACCTCAGCAGAGACCTGAAGAAAGCGAGTCGCTATCCCATCAAACACCCTGAGCATGACAGGGTTGTCATTAAGGTCAGGGTCAACGTGGGAAAAGTGAAGGCCATCAATCGTCAGGACCACCCACTTCAGAAGACCTGGCATGACCACGGATACGACACCGCCTGGGTGCCGCCCAACTGTGGGATGGTGCCAAGTGGCCTGGAGGAGAATTGTGTCTGGGATCCCAAGCGAATCTCAATCATTGGCACCATCGAACCAAAACCTGTCCATGGCGCTGGAGGCAGCACATGTGGTTACAAGTAAACTCAGAGCAGGTTCTGATTATTTTGTACGTTCAAATGTATTTTTATATATTTGGATAAGAAATCATAAAAAGACATATTTTGTAACCATGTCAGTGTAACCTGAAAAATAAACGTGCCATAGAAATGACTTTACTATTGTGTTCATTGCAATATTCATATGTAAATAATTAATTATTCCATATTTGTATGCATAAAAAACACCGAAAACACATCAGATGTCTAAACTGAGACATTTTACTGTTTAATAAAAAGAAATTGTTGGAATTTGATGACAACAACAAAGCTAAAAACAACTGGGATGGAGGAAACAAAGGCCTAGAAAAATAAATGGTGCTAAAGAGAAACAACAAGAGCCACAGTTTGAAACAGGCCAGCCACATGACTGATATAAAAAGCTGAGAGTTGCAGTGGATCTAAGGAGCAGATTTGCTGGTTCATAAAAAAAACGTAGCCACCAGCGGGCATTGGTTAGAATGAAACTCCTTTATTGAAATTGCTCTGACACCATGCTTTATACTGTGTATATATACAGTATACAGTTGGAATAAAGTTGGAATTCAGTGAATTAATCATCATCAGCTTAAATGCAAATTCTTCTGCGCTACACTTGAAGTAACCTAAATCTGACCATGAGCACCAGAGCCACTGTGCACCAGAGCCACTGTGCACCAGAGCCACTGTGCACCAGCACAACAGTGTTTTACTTTGAATTCTCAACATTAAAGCAAACTAACCTGTTTGTCCAGCACAAAACTGCTCTGTGTTTTCATGCAACATTTGAACAATACAAAGTCAGTATAGCTTAGTTAGTTTCACAGAACAAGATATAAAAATCTGAATTTTTCAAAACACATCATATACAAATCCAATGTGATTAATATGATGACATTACATGTGAGCTTTAAATCTGCACTTTATCAAGTGCAGTCCGTACCTTTAAATCCAACCCCTCTTCTTCACACACACTGTGAGACAAACTGCACACAAACAGCAAACAGTTTGTGTGTTTGCTGATGTTTGATGAGCTGATAGAACACTTAAAAAAAGTCACTCCCTTTATGCTCGCTGCTGTTAGCAGAGCTGGATGCCACCAGCAGTCTCCTCAGGCAGTTTTGATTGGCTGCCATTTAACAGCAGATTTTGCCTATGGGAGGAGGCTGCCCTTCATCTCATAAAGATTCATAGAAGTAAATATGAGCAGGGGTTCATCAATCTCCACAAGGAACAGAAAGTGTCTGCAAGTTGCAGAGCTGTTTTTAAAATAATCTTCCTCAATCTAAACCTGTGAATACTTTGAATATGTCATCATGTGCAGTACACATATCATCAGAAGAGTCAGAGAAATCCTGGATGCAGGAAAGACCTGTGAAAAACATCTTTGGCAGGATTTGAGAAGCACTCAGACTTTAAATTCAGGATTATTTAACTCTGATAAGATTAAAGCTGAGACTTGGCACTTTAACACTATCTCTACTTTTAAGATCTGGCTTCAAACTTTCCTTTTTGCTAAAGCATATAGTTAGGGCTGGACCAGGTGACCCTGAATCCTCCCTTAGTTATGCTGCAATAGACGTAGGCTGCCGAGGATTCCCATGATGCATTGGGTGTTTCTTCTTCACTCACTATGTGTTAACAGACCTCTCTGCATTGAATCATATCTGTTATTAACCTCTGTCTCTCTTCCACAGCATGTCTTTATCCTGTCTTCCTTCTCTCACCCCAACCGGTCGCAGCAGATGGCCGCCCCTCCCTGAGCCTGGTTCTGCCGGAGGTTTCTTCCTGTTAAAAGGGAGTTTTTCCTTCCCACTGTCGCCAAAGTGCTGCTCATAGGGGGTCATATGATTGTTGGGTTTTTCTCTGTACCTATGAAGCGCCTTGAGGCGACTTTTGTTGTGATTTGGCGCTATATAAATAAAATTGAATTGAATTGAATTGAATTAACGGAGCATCCATTATTTTATTTCCTGCTGAATGTGCTGAAAGTGAAACAGCTGCTGTGTGGATGTGATCAGACGTATTTCTGATTTATTCTGTGCAAACACAGAATAAATGAATAACATAATATTAATGAGTAGATTCATAAAGAGCCTGTGAGTGATTAACAAGTTCATCCATGTGGCAGTGATTACTGTGGAGCCACAGCGCCCCCTGAATATGACAGCAGGCATTACTCAGTGTTCTTAATCAGGAGACACTCAAAAAATAAAATGTAAAAAAACAACAACAAAAAAAACCACAAAACATTTAAATAACACTCAAAAAACAAATATGCAAAAAAAAAGTAAAAGTATCCAAAAGAAATGTACAGAATGAAGGAAAATATAAAGAATTGACACTAAAGTTTATAAAAATTGACAAACTGACTGCTGGACCCTCAAAGTTAATATGGGGGGTTCTTCATATACAGGAGACACATCCAGCTATTTCATATCCAGCTCTGAGCCACTGCCTTAAGAAGTGGGGGGAAACTAGGTTAACAAGCAGCAGGTTGATCAGTCCAGGTGTGCAGGCCAAGGGTGGGAACCGTAATGAACTCCGCCCAGGTGGACAGAAGACAGGAGAGACAAAGACAGAGAGAGAAAAGCAATATCAAAACATGTGGCCAAGAGTGAGCGAGCTGGAGAGACACAGGGACCATGACACTGACCAATAAGACCGGACTGGGTAACCTGGTTAAAGTGGCTGGTCAGACTTCAGGGAGGTCTCAGGTCCAGCTTTTGGACTTTTATAACAGGCAGGTGCTGAGGAAGGCGACCTCTGTCATGTTAAGTTTCAAACAAACCGTCTCTTTAGAGATTTTCAGCTGCTTCCTTCAGATCATCGGTGTGAAGTGCCTGCAGAGAAAACCACGAGACATAGTTCTTTATACCTGCTGCTATTATCGTGCTTAACAACACTAAACCATAACTGTTGTTGCCAACACTGTCACACACGGCACTTTCTTGCAGCTCTTGATAAAACTTGGGCTGTTCTGTTTGTTTTTCTTAAATGTCTGAGTTGTTTGATGAGTAGACATGCTGCAAATCAATTTCCCATTGGGGACAATAAAATGACCACTGACCAGGGTTTCCAGTTATTACAATAAAGCAATAAAGTGACACCAGTTAGATTCAAAAGGATCAAAGATGTACAAAAAGAAAGAAACTATCACAACCGCAAAGGTACAAAATTTTAAAAACACGCAAAGATGTAAAAATATCGACATTAAAAAAACAAAGAGGGAAAAATGACTGTCAGGAAATACACAATGGTATCAAACAGACAGAAGAATGACACAAACACAAACTGTGCTCATAGACTGTGTTGGGTCACCTTTTACATGTCTGTGCACACAAAACAATGAAAAAATATAGTTTTAAAAAGATGCTCAGCGACCACAAGAAGCTACAAAGCAACACAACGAGGAACAAATTAACTGCAGGAAGATAAAAGAGACGTATGAAACAACACAAAGAGATCAGCGTCGATGTCTCTGCACACAAGCCCTCATCACTACAGAAGGACATCAATGTGATGATGTTGATCCTTAGAGTCACACTGATAATGGGAAATATGTCAGCTGCCTGTAAGCTGGTTTATGTTGTGCAAACGTAAGTCAGTCTGCAGCAGGACAATGGAAACTTTTGCACATACAGCAGGAAAATGAGTGGACTGGAATTTCCTGTTTCCTTTTGAGTCTTTTGATAACCTGCTGTAGAGCTCATCTGCATCTGAGCAAGAGCATAAAATTAGAAATATCAAAGAGACTAATTTCCTTTAAAACCTTAAATCGATCATGGAGAAAAACTGGAAAGTACCAGAATTCCTGTTCTGCCAAAAAGTCCCTGATCTGTGTGCTGCTGGATGGCAGGAGTGAAACCTAACTCACACTAAGTACTCCAGCACATACTGCCTATAACCTAAAGTGAAGGACTTAACAGCACGTGAAACGAAACTGAAAGGAGGAGGTCTGTTTGTGGTATTTCCTCCTGAAAAAGAAGCAGAGTGAGGCACAGACTCCATTTTTGGACCAGCCTGCAGAGAGGTACGTGGACTCAGCAAACACACTTTTCTTCTTTTTTCCTTAAAAAGTCTGAATGTTTGCAGTAAACGTTGTCAGTACTGTGTGAATGAGGACATATTTACACTCAGCTGTGAACTTTCCGACTGGTAAAAGCAGATTTATGCCAATTTTATCAGGACTTAATGATGAACTTTTCAACTGTGTGAAAGTCCAGCGAGAAGCTGCAGGAATGTGATTCAGAAAACCTGAGTTTGAAATTCTACTTATTGTGAAACAACTTTTCAGTGAGGTGATGATTCTGAAATAAACGTGAACATTAAACAGAACATCGTCATCAGGCTTTCACAGCTACATGGACAGTGAGCCAGTTCAAACTTATCCTATTACATGTTTATTTTTCTTCAAATATTCATTTTTCCATTAATAACAATCAAATTAAGTCAGAAAGAGCCGCTGACCTCTGAGGCCAGACACTCATCTTTGGCACAGCAAGTTTATCTTTTGTTTGTTTTTACTTTATCCTGTCTGCCAGCTTTTGCAGTCAGAACTATAATCTGAACACACTGTTGTGCCAAATACGGTTTGCTTTTTAAAGATCTGAGGAAATAAAAAGGGGGGAAGAGGGGAGAAAATAAGAACATGACAGAGCACAGATAGAAATGCACGATGTATCACCAGCTGCTGCACCTGTGAGAAAAAACAAACATACAGCACCTGAAACACAAAAGCAAGAAAATGCACAGATACATAAATCAACAATCTTCTTGTGAGTGTGTGAGAGAGAGCGGCATGAGCCAGAAACTGGAGCCCAGCACCCAGCAGAGCGTCCATGCCCACTTTGATAATGAAGTGATAATTCCCAATTTGAGAGATAACAAAAAAAAAAAAGATTAAATGTATCTCATATCGTCAGATCTGATGCAACACAACGAAACACAACACCTGCCTGGACTGGAAAGTAATTAGGATTAACCACTGTTATTTTATAATGAGTTATAAATACTGTAAAAATAATTTAAAACACCTGATTTCTTATAATTACTCCCCATTAATATAACTAACTCTCTATTTTAAAGTTCAGGCTTCTTGTTCTTAACGCTGTGATGTTCTCATGATTTCCTGCAGAGACAATCACACCAACATCTGAATCAGAAAAATGTACTTCCAGTGGGCTGAAGATGACTTCCTGCCTCCAGGGGTAATCCGAGTGGATTGTGAAGGGCCAAGAGACAATAATACCTACGTCATGTACCACGGCACCACCAGTGCGAATGCTAAAAGGATCCTGATGACGGGCTTTGGCCAGTCTAAAGATGGGATGCTCGGTCCGGGGGTCTACCTCAGCAGAGACCTGGAGAAAGCAAGCCGTTATCCCATTGGTCACCCTGAGTATGACAGAGTTGTCATTAAAGTTAGGGTCAACGTGGGAAGGGTGATCATCATCAACTATCAGAACCACCCACTTCAGAAGACCTGGCAATACAGTGGCTACGACACCGCCTGGGTGCCGCCCAACTGTGGGATGGTGAAGAGCGGCCTGGAGGAGAATTGCGTCTGGGACCCGAATCGAATCTCAATCATCAGCACCATCAAACCAAAACCTGTCCAGGGCGCTGGAGGCAGCGCATGGGGCTATAGGTAAACTCAGGAGCAGGTTCTGATCATTTTGTACGTTCAAATGTATTTTTATATATTTGGATAAAATAAATGACGTGTTCTTCTGTAACCGTGTGACTGTAACCGAAGAATAAACGTGTCATTAAAGTGAGCTGCTCTCTGTGTGTGTTCAAAACGATTTTTATATACAGTAGAACCAGTCATATATGAAGCCAGGTGAAACTACAGGTGTGTCTTAGACATGAAGGCCTGGGCGACCTGTAATTTTCTACTTTTAAATTAAGACGTCTTTAGAACATTTGGCTCTAAAAATCAGACACACGGTGTCAACACAATGAATTACAGCTGATTTTCAGGCTGAGACAGACACTTTCTCTCGTCTTAGTGGACATGTTAACTTTGTATGACACATTCTTTTGCAGCTTCGTCCTTGAGCTACAGAAACAAATGAAACACTGTTTTTCACTGATACCATCCAAGCCAGTCTTACACTGTGGCTTTTCAAGGACGTCA